AAGTATAATAATCCCAAGTCATTACAATTAAGATCCCTAACACATGAAACTAGGGTTATTCATACCCAAGTGAGAGAAGGTTCTACTCCATAGAGAGAGAGAGAGAGAGAGGAAAACAGTAATCAGAGTAGTCATACTCATAAAGATGAGGAAAATCTGCTCTGGGATGATGATCTTCACTCCTATGATGATCTCCAAGCTCGATTGATGAAACTCAGCTCCAAAATCACCTCTAGGATGTGTTCTTCGCACTTTCCCTCTCTAGGGCTATGTTTTTGCTCCAAAAAGTCGACTCCCTCTTCAAAAGACTCGAAATTGGGTTAAAACCCAGTTCTGCCCGATCACAGGGCCGTGTGAAATCCCCAGCTGCCCGTGTGGAAGTGCAAAACGCCGGGTTTCACTTAAGTGGCTTCAGTTACGCTACACGACCAAAACCACACGGCCGTGTGGATTTCCAGTCTGGCCGTGTGAGCTCCCTGGACTTTCCCCACGTCCACAAGGGGTCCCATACACGGCCAGTGCGATTTGCCCGTGCAAAGTGGTGCCACACAGCCAAGTCACACGCCCGTGTGGAATTTTAGGCGTGCCCGTGTAGAATTTCCAGCTTTTCGTCAAACATCCCAACTTTTTCCAATCGACCCCAAACTCGTGCCCAAACCTTCTTTCACGTACTATGACCTGAAATATCACAAACAAGAACAACCTAGCATGAAATCGGCCTAAAACACGAGAGATGAGACTCAAACGGTACTGGAATGGTGGACTAAAACATGTGTACATATCAAGTCATCAAATTCCCCCACACTTAACCGTTTGCTTGTCCCCAAGCAAACCTGACTCAAACCAATACAACTCTCCAGACCTCTATAGCAATATGCACCTCCGATCGTCGGCAGAGGATTTTCTATATCATTTAGCAACTTACGAGGTCCACTGGTCTTCTAAGACGCCCCCTATCTCGCTCAATACGAGTACTAGACTCAAGCCAGGATCATGAGAAGCAGTGGAACTAAGACAGTCAATTCATGGATAAGGAGACTCACACAATTCAACAACCAAGGATGTATCGGGTGCTCTTCCATTTCATTTCAATTGTTGAAACCCCTTCTTCTTGCTATTTGTTTTTTTTTTCCCCTTTGCTGGGGTTCCAACTGCAGTTTGTATGCGCGGTCTGCCCTTATTAGGTGAGCAAGAGCAATTTCTGTACATCTGTCACTCGCCAGAGTACTTCTTTTAACTCCTATTCCTCACTTCGTGTGGAGGGTCAATGAAATTAAGGGGGGTCGGAAGCTCTATCCGTGCCCTTAAAAACACATCCTTAAGTAGGCAAACCGTTCAAGGGGTGGAAATTTTACTTGTACTAGAGACAACTTAGCTTCCCCTTGTAGGCCTACCCCACCAAGGATCACTAAAATCTCTTCCAAAACCCGATTTTGTGCAATGCACTGTGCCACACACGTTGGGCTTACCCCATGTCTTAGAATTTCAAATTTTTTACATGGAGGACCAACTGCTTTTTCATTTCACACTTGAGCACCCTTTTTCGATACACGAGTCCACAACACAACATAAGAGGAGTCATCAATACCACATGAATCAACGGTCCTGAATCCACTAGTTCACAAAATCAACCGGCACAACAGAGAGACAGATAGGAAAAATCTTATACTTCAACATCCTCCATAGTGCTACAACTACCTCCCTAGGTTGCCTATCACCATAAAGACTGTCAATTCAAAGCATACTGAGCAGGATTTTGCAGGGAACAATACTTGGAGCCCTCAATTCATCAAATTGGACAGTGGACTAGGCTCCCAGCACACAAACTCATCTAGCAGTCAAAAATAGATAAACACCCTCCCCCCCCCCCCCCCACACACACACACTTAAGCACGACATTGCCCTCAGTGGAGCAGAGAGAAAAATCAGGGGAAATGATGTTACCGGGAATACGGACTGTCAGGGGACTGGAAATTGGACCAGTTAGCAGGGATAGAGTCATCAAAACACACTGGGTGATAGAAACCATAGTTCCAAGTGGACAAATCGAAAAACAACCGAAAGAAAAACAAACCTTGGTGGGGTTGCCTCCCCACAAGCGCTTCTTTTACGTCTTAGCTAGACGGTGGCTCCTAAGTTTCGGTCCATGCTAGAACCTCCTTGAACTTGAGGTTCTCATTAATAAGGTGGAGTCTCAAGTCACGAGCATGTGATGTGATAGGTGATGAAGATGGCTCGTGGCCTTGAGGAAGATGAAGTCTCCACTTTCTAGACCTTTCCTACGCGTCTGCTCTTGTCTCATTGCCCCAAACCAGATAAGGTATATTCGATTGACCACCATCGCATCCACCAAGAGGGATTGATGTTGATGTGGTCTTGGTTTGGCAAAGAGGCACTGCAAATGGGTCCTTGCCAAGCAGCTCCTCGAAGTTTGGTGGAGATATCACATGTAACATATGGTCGGTGCAAGCCTCTTCATCCTCATCCTCAGCCTGGACGCCAATTGCTTCTTCAACCCCCCTTCCTTCATCAGAATGTGGTCTCTCCCCTTGGACAAGATCAAGAACTACCTCTACTTTGCTTTCTTCCTCATCCTCCACAACTTCCTTCCTCATCCTTGCTAGCTCTTCTTCTTCTAGAACAGATTGGAGAGCAAGTCGCCAAGCAATTTCTTTCAATGGGATCATCTTGCATCTCCTCGCACGGGCCCAACATGTTAGAGTAGAAATGAGGAAAGGTGTGATCTACAACCAGAGGACTTTCCTGATCATGATTATCATGGTAGTTCTCTGTGATAACTTATGTATGCTCCTCAACGTCCCCGTAGCCTTTGTCATCCTCCACCTCTTCTAGTGTGGTAGAAGAAAGGTGATCTTGAGCAGGATATGAGCAAACTTGCTCCACCCACTCTGTTTGCTTTGCTGAGCACTGAACAGTCTCCTCCATTTCATGGAGAAATGAGGGATCAGAAGGGGCAAGGGCTTGGATTTGAAGATCCATCTTCGAGCATGATCTCTCAGTGTCTCGAGCAAACTGCTCCATGAGAAGCCTTAATTGTTTGTTCGGATCTTCCAGTGAAGTGTAGCATGGCTCTGCATAGTGGCCCGTGAAGGCCTCCATGGCTAACTCCAACTCAGATGGCCCCTCTGGTTGTGGCAGGAACTCTTCTTGAAAAGGATATTGTTCTTGAGGTTCCCAAGGGTTTGGTTGTTCTCCATAGTAGGGGGGTTGGTACTGACATCCGAATCCATAGTCTTCTCCTCCTTGATTGCTCCACGAAGTCTTGGGGTAATACCACTCGGGTGGTGGTTGATACCCCCAATGGTTGGAGAAGCCATGAGGATCCATGTTTCAGATCTGCACCAACAAAAACATAACACCCAAGTGAAAAGCAAGGGTGGAAAAGAAAAGAAAAAAGCTAAAGTAACAGACTTTCACGTTTCTACAATAACCTAGAGGTCCCCGGCAACGGCGCCAAAAACTTGACTCGCTACGACACAACACCTAACAATGGCCAAGTGTAACCAATGAAAGGGACTGCAGTATAGTGGCTCAAGTAATAAATATCGAATCCACAGGTCTCTAGAGTTACTATTACTCAGCTTCAGTTCATTATCTAGCAAACCAGATTAAGATGGAAGAGCTAAAACTACTCTAACAAACTACAGTTAAAGTTAATCTAATTACAGGTTGGGAACTCACTTAGTTATGATTCCCCCTAGCCACTAGCCAGATTAATGATTGATGATCTCTAACTTGTTTCACTTTCATTCACAATGCGGAGAATCATTGACTAGACCTTGAGTCTCGACTAAAGGAACAAGGCCCTCTTGAGTCAATTGCCTAGAGGGACGTATCCTTCTCTAGAACAACCGATCAAGGCGTTCTAAACTAGATTCCCTCTATCGAATGAGGCTCTCAATCGATACAAAGCATTGAATCAACCCTCGACTAAAGCAATCGATTCAATACTATCAATTTATGGTGCTCTATTGACCTAATCAGGTATTCGCTCTCATAGGATCAAAGCAGAATCAATAATCTCGACTAAAGCAGAATTGAATCATGAAAACATGCATAGATTGAATATGAACTCACGATTATCAAGTAGGAGTACTCATACAATCATCCAATGAAACAAACATAGCTAGGGTTCCTCAAAACCTAAGTGAAGGGAAGTTACTCCATAGAGAAGAGAGAGACTGCAGTAAGAATCTTCAGATGATCAGTCTTCAAGTCCGGGCTTGTTCCCCGAGCTTCCAAGGCGAAGAAATCCTCCAATTCCACTCCAAGAATGCCCTCAAATCGCGCTCTCTCTCTCTTTGGTTCGTCCCTAGGGTGTTTGGGATCCAAAACCCAGCTCTCCCTCTCCAAAAATCGCAAAACAGCTTTTATACCCGCTGAAACTCGCACCCCCTACTTGCACGGTCGTGCAAACCCCCTGGGAAACCCACACGGCCGTGCATAATTTCACACGGCCGTGCACAATTTCCAGCATGCACTCCTAAGCTTCGTTGATCTCGTTTGAGCTCGTTTGACCTCCGATTCAGGTGTCGTTTGATCCCAGATGCTCGTAGTCTTGTCCTCTTTCTTTTCATAAAAAACTTTCATGATTATTTGTCAATAAAATGAGGTATAAATCCATTATTTCTCAAGTCATTCCCGAGTTTCTCACCCCGAGTCGCCAATTGATCTCCTATAGTCCTATTGACTTGAAACTTGCGCCTAGGCTTCACTTTACATGCTAGGACCTGAAATGTGACAAAGGAACACAACCTAGCGTAAAATAGTCTAAGAAATAAAAAAACTCAAGCCAAAATGATCAAGAAACGAGGGTGCAAACATGTGCAAATACGACGTTATCACTGACCCCCAACTACCATTCATAGCGGCTGATAGTCTGATTCAAGTCACATCAACATATGTATATTTGGATGCCATTATATGTTTTTGAGTAACGAACTAACATCATATTGATAATGAACACGAATTATAGAACAATTTCATCGATATATATATTCATAATTGCGTCGTGCTATACAGATGAGAAAAGCTAGAGGCGACCTTTATTGGTACCATTGTCGTAGGGTATCTCAACCACATTTACGTGGAGAGTACAAGACTATAACATACACGTATGTTTCATTTTTTACCCATACAAATGAGCAGGCAGGCGAGGAGCCAATTGAACATCCAACGGAGAAGCCCTGGGATTGGTCAGCCCAATACTCTCCGTCATATCAACCGGTTGTACCGTCGTCCTCGAGAAATCAAACCCATGCAACAGCGTAGCAACGGTCAAGTGCATAACCTGCATGGCGAAATTCACGCCAGGGCACATCCTCCTCCCGCTGCCAAAGGGGATCAGCTCGAAATCCTGTCCCCTCAGATCAACATCCTTATGAGTCGTGAGGAACCGGTCCGGTCGAAACTCGTCTGGGTCCGACCAGACCCTCGGGTCTCGCTGGATCTTTGACAAGTTGACGATGAGCCGGGTTCCCTTGCGGACGAACCGGCCGGCCACGGTGCAATCTTCCGTCGATTGGTGGGGCACGGAGAGTGGCGCGGCAGGGTACAAGCGGAGGGTTTCCTTGACGATGGCTTTGAGGTAGTCAAGGTGGCGGAGGTCGGACTCTTGAACTCGACGTTCCTTGCCGACGTGGCTGTCCAGCTCGGATTGGGCTGTTTTCAACACTTCGGGGTGGTTGACGAGTAAGGCTATGAGCCAGGTCATTGTCACTGCGGTCGTGTCTGACGCAGCTAGGGTGAGAGCCTGCAAAGTCATAATCAATGTACGATGTGTATAAAAGATATTGTAGTTAATTATTTGTTTGTCTGCTATAATATTGCAGGATAGACATAATGACATATGACGTATGTTTATTTTATTAGTTTCATACCTTGTCATTGGATTTGGAAGAATCAAAACATGAACAGATGTTTTTTGCATGGAAAAATTATGATTTTAGTATCTTTCTTCCTGTCTATTTACACAATTAAATCCCCCCCCCCCACCCCACCAAACTGAGGAATCTTTTGAACACTCTGTGAACAAAAGTAACTCACTATGGGTTAATCGATCAAAATGGTTTCTGATTCGATAGTAAATGTACAAAACATAGTAAAAATGTCATGTATTATAATTTAATTAACAAAATAACATTTCCATCTCTTTCTATTCATATATTTTCATTGAGGACCGCAAATGTGGTGAGCTGTTCATGAGCGTCTTGACGCCGGCTCGAGAAAATCTGGTTTGAAACTCTATTAGTTTATTAACTAATCAAGTTTGAGCTAAACTTTGCTCAACTCGAGAGGCTTGCAAGTCAGCTTGACTCAGTGGCTTGTTGAGTTCAACTCGTGAGTTGACTCGTTTTGAGTTCATGAGAAGTTCCAACAATATGGCTAGCATGCAACTTAGCTACCGGCTTATGATGAGCGAATCAATCTATATCTTATAAGTTGGTTTGTTGACAACTCATAGGTTTGTTAAAGTATAGGGTGTGCCTACGGTGACATGCATGTCACGGTGACTTGCACTTTCCGGTCGACCTCATATAGGATCCGGTCGACCTTACATAGAATTCGGTCGACCTCATATAGGATCCGGTCGACCTCATTTAGGATTCGATCGACCTAATATGTTGTTTCAGTGTAAAAACAGTTCATGGTGCCTACTTTGGATATTCATATCATACAATTGGCTAGATGGAAATTGAAGACTAATGACTTGTTTTGAAGCTGGAGTGTCCCTCTACATATTGAAGTGATTGAGAGCTCGATAGGAAGTCCAGAAGACCATTTTTGAACCTCATCAAAAGGCTATGCCAAAACTGGGAAACTGCCTAGAAATGGCTAAGTCTGGAAACGTGTTTGTGAAGCCTATTTTTTAGCTCAATTCGAGAAGCATGAATGCGAGTCGAGTCCAGGAGCCTCTACCACGTTAAATTAGGTATGTTTTTATACAAATTCAAGGAATTGGATGAAAGATTGGATATATTTAAGGCTTCAAACAAAAGGGTCGAAGTTGCTACGAAGGCTGTTTTTCTGGCAGACTTCGAGCACAAGCAAGCTGCCAGAAAACAGCCTTCGTAGCAACTTCGAGCCTTTTGTTTGAAGCCTTAAAGATATTCAATCTTTCATTCAATGCCTTACCTTTGTATAAAAAAATACGTAATTTAACGTGGTAAAGGCCCCTGGACTTGACTCGCATCCATGCTTGTCAAATTGAGCTCCAAAGTAGGCTTGACAAACACGTCGCCAGACTTAGCCATTTTCAGGCAGTTTCCCAGTTTTGGCATAGCCTTTTGGTCAGGTTCAAAAATGGTCTTCTGGACTTTCTATTGAGCTCCCAAGTACTTTAATGTGTAGAGGGACACTTCAGCTTCAAAACAAGCCTTTAATCTCCAATTTCCATCTAGCCAATTGTAAGATATGAATCTTCAAAGTAGGCACCATGAAACTGTTTGTACACTGAAACAACTGATTAGGTCGACCTGATCCTATATGAGGTCGACCGAAAAGTGCATGTCACCGTGACATGCATGTCACCGTAGCAAAGTCCTAAAGTATATGAAAAGGAAATAACTTAATAATGAAAGATTGTCTATTAATTAATTTATAAATTATTTTAAAGTTTAGTTTAAAGGCTCAAGTATTAAGAGTAAATGAATTGAGCTCTAAATGAACTTGATCATATTGATGAGGCAAACCCAAGTGCAGCTCATGAGGTCATCAATGAGTCATACTTGAGTTTCAAGGCAAACACAAATCAATATTTAATTCGACTCGTTTATTGACAATTAGTCGAATACCAAACTTACTTCGAGTAACTTTCATCGTATTTCATCCAAACTTCCCACTTAAATTACTACTGCGTATCATCTCCTTACTCCAACCAAGGTTTCTAGGAGCTACAAAGTGCAATCCCCCGACCTCTCTCACCTAGGGCAACAATTAGATTTGAAATATTTATTTCTATTGCTTGATTGTTTTTTTATTATAAAAGTGGTATAGTTTATTTATTATTAAAAGGGTAAAACGTGAGCCACATTTACACAGTAGCATTACCTGGGGGAGTTGGGGGACCCGGACCATCACTTTTATATTTTTTTAAGGTTAACATATTTAATGTGTCCAATATATTATGGAAAAGTGCTGCTCCTATGTCATGCGTGACTAAGCAGAGAACAGAAATCTGATTGTGCCCATTTCTTTATATTTCAGGATCCTAGGAATTTTTTTTTTTCGTTGAATAAGAAATATTTTTTTTATATAACTAAGAGCGACTAAATAAAGTTACAAATATAATATATTTTCTTGTTATGTATTTTTATCAAATATATTTTTCTATTATTTTTAGATTAGACATATTAATATGCTTTGTAAAAATTATCCAGTATGCTCCTTTGTAACATTTTTCATTCAAAAGTTTTCAATCACGATCAAATCGTGTTTGGACAACATTAATGTACAAAATATCTTCTTTTTTATGAGTAATGTACAAATATCTTTAATAATTTTACTTAATTATTTTTTATTTGTTTAAATAACCTCTTTACTTATAATAATTTTGTTTTAACGAGAGTAGTTAACAATTATAGGGGCAAAATTGACATTACCATCTTGTTTTTGCCAAAGTCAGATGTTCGAACCACGGTATAACTATGATTGACAATTGTCGAATGAAAATTTATTACATGCATGTTTTATTGTTTATCTAAAATATAGGAAATACGAACCACGGTATAACTATGATTGACAATTGTCGAATGAAAATTTATTACATGCATGTTTTATTGTTTATCTAAAATATAGGAATATATTTGATGTAAAAAATAGTATAGTTGTATAGCATATTAAGTATAGAGAAATTTTACAATGTTTTATAGTATTGGTGCTATAGGTTTTTGCTTTTATGGTACAACTTAAAATTGTACATTTACGTTATGGTACAGCTTCATATTGTATCTATACTTTTTGTACAAATTCTTTTATGGTACAACTTGAACTTGTACCTTTATGTGATGGTACAACTTCAAGTTGTAAAGTTGTACCATAACATAATGGTACAAATTGCTTTATGGTACGTACAAACTAAACTTATACATTTAATTTTATGGTATAACTTTGAGTTCTACATTAAAGCACCAATACTATATAGCATAGTAAAAGTGCTCATTAAGTATAACCCTTGAATTAATGAAGACTTTGAGAGAGTAATAATTTTGGATTACCAGACAAGTAGCTTTATTGACCGTATCCGAATCCCGACCCTCGATTCCCCCTTCCTCCCCGACCACGTTCAATATGACATCCATAAAGTCCTCCGCCGCCGCCGCCGCCTTCTCACCGCCGCCGCGGGAACCTCTTCTCGCCTTATGCTCCCTAAGCCACTCCCCGACCACAGCCTCCATCTCCTCCGCCGTCCTCCTCATCGCCTTCTCGAACCCTCCGACGTCCAGCCACCGCAGAAACGGCAAACCGTCCGCCACCACGAACCTTCCCGACAGATCGAAGAAATCCATGAACGTTCTCCTCAATCTGACGCCGTCCTCTCCTCCCGTCAAGTACCCGACGGATTTCCCCACAATCATCTTCAGGATAACGTTCAACGTTATCTCCTCGAACCAGCCAGTCAACTCAATCAAAACGCTGCCGTTCGCCTCGTTTTTGGTCCAGTAGGAATACAGCTCTTTTGTCGCGACTTGGACCTCGGATTCCCGCACGTGTTTGAGCAGATCGAGGCGGTGCGAGGAGAGAAGCTCCAACGTGGCGATCTTCCGGATTTGTCGCCAGTAAGGACCGTACGGGCTGAACCCGAACATGGACCGGTCGTACCCGAGAATATGCGTGGCGAGGGTTTCGGGTCGGTCAGCGAAGACCCGGTCGAGGGTGGTCAGACACTCCTTGGCGGTCTCCCAGTTGCTGACGACTAGGGCCGGGTGAACACCCATACGGATCGTGAAGATTGGGCCGTGGTTTTCGGCCATTCGGCCCAGTACTTTGTGTGGCGGGCTCGGTCCGCTGAGGATGTGGAGGTGGCCGATTACGGGCCACGCGCCGCTGGCCTGCTCCGGCGGTGGTGCTGCTTCTTCATGGTCATGGTCCTTGCTGGGCGACGAGATTGTTCGGAAGAGGAAGTAGAGGAAGACGAGCGAGGCTAAGGCAATTATGGAGAGAGAAATGGTGGTGGAGTGGGAAGTGAAGAAGAAATCCATGTTTGCTAGTCCAATTTTGAAAGAGGCAGGGCGGTTTCTTTTGGATTTTATATGTGAAAATGTGATTAAATTAATAGCTGCAATGGTTTAGAGTTTATCGGTGATTATAGGTGTCAAAATATAACCCAACCCGATTAATTCGTTTGATCAATTCGACTCGCAATCTGACCGCAATCCGAATTGACTAAAAGTCAACAACTCGTAACCCGCCCGATCCGCAACTCGATTGATCTGTAACCTGACTAATCTGCAAACCAATTCACCTGCAACCCGATTAAATCTGCAACCCGATTAACCGAACCCGATTGTCCCGAACCCGACTAATCGGCAGCCCAACCGACACAACCCGAACATCACCTAATCCACTTGAATAATTAGTATATTATATAATACATTGTTTTTCAAAATAAAGTTTTTCATTCTAAACTTAGGTAAAATTATTTCTTCATTTCGTATAGGAAATTTAAAAATATGAAACTCACTTGATATTATGTATTTTAAGAAAATTACAAAAATTGAAACATGAATGTCATTTGAACTTTGGTAATCAGAGCGTGGAGCGGGAACGGGAGCGCCAGAGCGTCAAGTTTTTACGAATTTCATTTTGAGAGCGTGAAAGAGCGTTAATATTATATATTTTTTTTTATAAATATATTTAAACAAAAATTATACTTTCTTATGATAAAATTATAAAGATAAAATGAATAAAATTATAAGAAAGGATCAAATTTTGCAAGAGGCAGGGCGGTTTCTTTTGGATTTTATATGTGAAAATGTGATTAAATTAATAGCTGCAATGGTTTAGACTTTATCGGTGATTATCGGTGTCAAAATATAACCCAACCCGATTAATTTGTTTGATCAATTCGACCCGCAATCTGACCGCAACCTGAATTGACTAAAAGTCAACAACTCATAACCCGCCCGACCCGCAACTCGATTGATCTGTAACCCGACTAATCTGCAAACCGATTCACCTGCAACCCGATTAAATCTGCAACCCGATTAACCGAACCCGATTGTCCCGAACCCGACTAATCGGCAGCCCAACCGACACAACCCGAACTTCACCTAATCCACTTGAATAATTAGTATATTATATAATACATTGTTTTTCAAAATAAAGTTTTTCATTCTAAACTTAGGTAAAATTATTTCTTCATTTCGTATAGGAAATTTAAAAATATGAAACTCACTTGATATTATGTATTTTAAGAAAATTACAAAAATTGAAACATGAATGTCATTTGAACTTAGGTAATCAGAGCGTGGAGCGAGAGCAGGAGCGTCAGAGCGTCAGGTTTTAAAGAATTTCATTTTGAGAGCGTGAAAGAGCGTTAATATTATATTATTATTATTATTTTATAAATATATTTAAACAAAAATTATACTTTCTTATGATAAAATTATAAAGATAAAATGAATAAAATTATAAGAAAGGATCAAAAAATACTTCTTCCTGTATAATATGCTTCCCATTGCTTAATTATGCAACCTACAGCATGCAAAAGATCCAACCTCACTTTACCTATTAAATACGTTCAAATGACATTTTATTAGGTATCATTTATCAAGCATATTTGACAGGTGGATACATTTAAAATTGCCACATACTACTCGGCTGACATAAAAGGCCACCAAGAATTAATTAAATAAAGAACTTCAACAAGTTGAATAGAACTCTAACTCCAAATCCCTAATCATGTTTCCAGCAAGCATTTGAAAACATAAAAGGCCACCATAAATGGCCTTCCTCCTTGTGACCTCAATTGATTGCAGCAAAAGTCGATCTCAATATGCGGTTGGGAGAACAGAGAGCTTTGGAACAAGGAATCAAGGAAAACCAGTAGAGCTTGAGAAACAGAGCAGGTGAAAACAGGGGAGAGGAAGATAATCACATACACTAACTGCTCATCGAAAGAGAAAGTGCAAAGCAATAGAGTTGAAGAAATCAAACTTCGCCCTTTTTGGCGTCTTGTCTTCTTCTCTGCTTCTTCCACTTCCTGCTATGAAACCTCTAAGAAGTAGAGAAGAGATGGCAAAAAATCACCCTTTTGACTCTCGGTGGAAACTGAAAAGCAAGCTCAAAGTCGAGCATATGCTTCACCTCGGCCTGCTTTGAGAAGCTTTAATCAATTAACCATGAGGACATTTAATCAATTAACTTGGTGAAGAGCTGAGAGAAGCTTTCACATATGTTCTAATCTGCGCTCTTAAAAATCCAATCTGCGCTCCCAAATTGAGCAGTACACGAATTTAAGACGGTTTGCCTACAAACCGCGTTTTCAAGCGCTGGAGCGGGGACGTGGAGGTCAAACCCACGAATTGGGTAACCTAAATTTGAACACTAATTTTTTTAACAAAATTAAAAGGCAAAATTCATTTTCATAGCCATAACTTTGCACTTTGTCACAAATATAGCCAGATTCTGAGAAATATACAGAAATAGCCAAAAATTTGAAAATGCGTTGACAGTAATAGCCATTTCCGTTATTAAAGATGACGCCGTTAATTACATGTCCACGTCGCTGACGTGGCCGAATTATGAACTCCACGTTGGCGCCAACAGGACTGAATTTGCCACCAAAGCGCCACGTCATCCAGAGGAGAGAGAACCAGTTGGGGCAATTAAATATGCCCAGCGACTTCTTCTCCATCTCATTTTTCGATTTCATCGACCCTCCCAGAAAAAACCCCGAAATCGGCTTCCTAGTGGCAGTCTGAATCCGGCGAAGAACCCTCGACGCCGTGGACAACTGTGATTCCGCCGTCGCTTGTCTCCCTACCCATTCATCGATTTTGCCGACCCCTGGTTCCCCTCGTCCCTTATCCATCTTATTTTTCGATTTCATCGACCCTCCCAGAAAAAACCCCGAGATCGGCTTTCATCTTCCTCGTAGCGGCAGTCTGAATCCGGCGAAGATAACTCGACGCCGTGGACAACTGTGATTCCGCCGTCGCTTGTCTCCCTACCCATTCACCGATTTTGCCAACCCCTGGTTCCCCTCGTCCCTTCCATATTTCCGTCGACAGTTCGCATCTCCCATCCCTAACGATGTCACAAAGGGGCAGTCGGGGCACTCGCAAGAATGGCGGCGATTCGGGCTCAACCAGCGTCAAGAGTGGGGTTTCCTTCCTATGCGAACACAATGTCCCAGCTGTGATTAATACCTCTGGGACTGAGTTGAATCCAGGAAGGCAGTTCTATGGCTGTCGTTATTGGCGGGTAAGGCCATTCCATTGTAATTGATGATTGTATTTGTTCGTTGTTTTGTTGGCTAAGGAGGGTCGATGGTTTGCAGGATGGGAAAAGATGTAGATTTTTTAGGTGGGTGAACGGCAATGAGGAGCCATTAGAGTCAAGGAACCATGAGATGGAGAATAATATTATGAACCTGGAGGAGAGGCTAAGGCTGGCCGAATCCAATGCTGAGAAGAGGATGAAGGAAAAAAAGCTGCTGACAGAAGAATTAAGGAATTGGATGCAAGTTTGCCAAGTTAGATTGGGTGAAGAGATCCGGGTCATGAGATATATGTTGACTGTTATGTTGATCATGAATGTGTTTTTGTTTGTGGTTCTGTGGAGGAAGGATTGTGGCATGTAAGTTATCGTTCATGTAACATTTTGGAATTCAATGATCAAAGAGTTGGATAACCTGGTTTAACCTTTTGACTATCTGTATTTGTGGACAAAAGAAGTGCATAATATGTGTCGCAACCGTCCCTCCGGGGGGTCCGATGTCGTTGCGTCGGCTGTTTTTGGGAGTCGCCATCGATCTTACTTGGAGTGGATCGAACACTCTTCGAGTCGGCTCTAACCTTAGGGTCAGAACCGAGATATGGTCTGCGGTTAAGAGATTTGGGTTCGGGAGTACGGTTACATGTGGGGAAGTGAAATCACACCCCACAACGCCCTAAATCGGTACTACTTAAGTTGATAAGTTTAAATGTGTTGGGTGTGTTTTTAGAAAATATGTAATTTTGGGATCCCACTGGACCATTAAATGATTTTATCGTATTAGTTGTAATTAATTATACGCCCACTGACGTAAAAATTAAAAGATAAAGTTAATTGTTTAGTTGGACTCGAACCTTATCGGCTGCCTACGTACCCGTATCACGGGATCAAAGTCCACGTAGTTCGTTTGAACTTTGACAATTTAATTGTAATCACGTTCCACTGATCGTGATTTTCGTATTATCACACTACAAGAAAAATGGCTTTTTGCAACCAAAATATATGGTCCCTAAAAGTCAAAAAATGGTTATCGATACATTTTCGCAACCAAATATATTTGGTAGCAGATTTGGTCGCTATAGCCGCGTTACGAATTCCTAATGCAACCAAAATAATGATTGGTTGCGAAAAATCAGGCTATCGCAACCAATTCTGCCAATGCTAAAACTCTTAGTTTTTTGTGACAATTTAAATTTGGTTGTCATAGACCATACTTTTGGTTGCAAAATGTAGTTGATTGGTCGCCATAAATACTAATGACAAATTTTTTGTGTGACTATTAGTAACCGATAATATCATTATGACAACCAATAATTTTGGTTATAAAATTTTAATACAACTATAAAATTTGGTCGTGAAAAATACATATGCCGACCAATTATATCATTTTAAACGACTAAATATTTTTGTCATAAAAATGTAAAACAACCTTGAGATTTGGTCGTGAAAAACATGTAACTCAACCAATTAAACCATTTTGACAACCAAATGTTTTAGTTATAGAATTATAAGTCAACCTTAAAATTTGGTTGTAAAAAATACATATGCCAACCAATCATGTCAATTTTTGCGACTAATTATTTTAATTATGAAAGCGTTACAAAACCATAAAAATTGGTTGCGAAAACACATAAGCCGACAAAATAAATCATTTTATATGACCAATTTCGTTCATGAGAGTTTGGTCATTAAAATGCACCATTTAAAAATTTAAATTGAATTATAGTAAGAAAGTGTACATGTCACATCTCGTCTTTAACAAATTGTTATGTCATCACTAAGAATAACCTCACTATTTCATACAATTGCATCTATA